AGGAGCTTTCATTTGAACCGGCAGCCCTCATGCGTTTCCAAGCATCCGGCACTTTGATCAATCCTTCGGGGGGGTAGGAAGAAGTCGGAGAGTGATCACTCGGAACATCCTCTGTGTGCGAGAACACACTTGGGGATGAGCTCGCGCCGGACTCGGTAGATACGGTGCAGTTACTGGGTGATGACACCGACGCCGCAGAGGTCACAATCTGATCAGCGGCCTTATCCAATTGACGCAATCGGATCTTCAACGCGGTATTCTCTTCCTCCAGTCTCTTGTTACGAATCTCGAGATGTCTGATGTACTCTGTGGCTTTCGAAAGGATAGACGCTTTGTTGAGTTTGCTGGCTGAGGCGGTACCATCATCATCATCATCACCGGAGTTGCCATTTGCCTGCTTGTAAGAGGCCCGTAGACTGGGCACACTGTCTCTCAGCTCAGCGATCTTCTCGTTCAGATTGGCTCTGTATCTCTTCTCGATGACATTGTGCGCTCGTTTCTTGGAAGGCGCCTGTTTAGCCTTGAACACAATGCTTGTTATCGCAGGCCCATCATCATCACTTCCAGACTTGCGTTTGCGGCTTGCGCCTGTTGACGAAAGGAAAGAGTTATAATGGCCTGACTCTGCCCCCGCACCTAGATCATCTGACTGGGGGGATACATTATCATTCTGTTCTGGGCCCGGGAAAGATCCAAGTGGAGGATATGTGAAATCTAGAGATATATCAGGTGAGAAGTCATTGTGCACTGCATTAGGTGCCTGCTGCTCGGAAGAGGCACTTGGCGATATAAAGGCAAGGTCAAATGGGGAGTGAGGCGAAGCATTTTCAGGCTTTGGAATCGCTTGCTGATCATCCCATCTCATCCACTGCGTCCAGTCCTGACTGGCATCGTCCGTATTTGTTTGATCAACTGACATGGAGTCTCCTTGAGATACTCTCCTCTCAGCGGACTCGAGAGGCGAGAACAGCTGGAAATCACTACCAATGCCGGGGGTGGACATTGTGTTTCACTGCCGGTCTTGAACCATCAGACGTACTCAATATGGTCTTGTACTATAATGAAGACAACCATCAACAATGAGGAGCTATAGATGAATATCTTGATAAGATTGCGTACCTGTTAAAACTCAAGACCCAGGGGGGGCAAAAAGCCGGCTAACTGCGGGTTTAAGTTGGAAGATGATTGATGATCGTCCGAACCAAACGCGCTAATCAGGAGTTAAAACTCGAATTGCGGAGTCAGACCTGAATGCTGGTGCAGGCTGCAGAGATATAGCAAGTTGAAATGGTGTGAAGGCCATACATTCCATACAGCAATTAGGTGCAGGTGTGAAGACAACAAGCTTGGTTCGAAGAACTCTCCGAGGGTGTATATGATCAAGTCATGTCAGAAGGACCTGACTCAGCACTGTAAGGGACGGAGGCTAGCGTTATGGAATTCTTTTTCGAAGTGTTGGGCGGTTGGTTGAGAGGACGCATGAACGTCGTGACTCGTGAGTTCCAGTCTTCCACACACAACCCCACAGGACTGTTTTTGGTATCAAATCTCAAGTACTTCCCTTCTGCATCAATCCTGCAAAGCAATCTGTCTGAGCAACTCAACAGTAAAGAAGGCGAATCCGATAAGCTGAGTAGTAAGCAGTTGTATCGACAACAATCCGCTCGAGCTGCAGTGGAAGGAAACGAATCGCTGCCTGTGCCTGAGCCCTGAGGGGGCAACATGGAAATCTCGGCCGTGGCTCGGCGGAGGACGTCGTATGATCGCGGGACGAAGCGATTCCGGCAAACCGACAGGTGGTGTGTTTGTATTTCTTGTAAGTATGCAATATTGGCTGTGTTTGCTTTGTTTGTCAACTCAAAAACAGTATCCTGGCCGTAATGTTACCATCCGCCGTCTAGAGGATATGACCAATCGCTGTCGAAGCCGCTTCGTTCTTTTACATCATCGCAGATCACTGCTATAAATAACCAGGTCTACTCAACTATCCTTGAGTATCTGGCTCCGAAGAAATGGTAGAAGCCTGGGGGGATTGTGCAGAGTCAAGGCATTGACACGATTCAGGATATCGCCATATGTACAGGACGTGCTTGAGCCCCAGACAAGGACCCATGCCGATAAATTTTCTTGGTCTATCAACAATCACATGCACATCAAGGCTTCTGATACTTGGGATACTCCTCGACCCAAGCCTTGATTTGCGCCACCTCATTATCAATCACTTTTTGAACGCCGGCATTCACAGCCCCATTGCGCAGCCTCAGATCTGAGCAATGGAATCCACCTGGAATCACCTGTACTGGCGCTTCTTTTGTCGACTGAAGAGGTCCTCCAGGTCTGAACTTGGATGAAACTCCCGAGTCCCTCCAGGGATCGAACTGACTGTGGGAATGGATTAACATTAGCTTTGATCAAGTATTTGCCGGTCAGACAACGAACCCATTTGTCCAGATCAGGCGTGTTGTGTCTGTCAGGTCCCAGCCCTTGGTCCACTTATTCACGTCTGCAGCGGTCTTGCCTTTGGCGCTACCGTACGTATAACCGTTGAGTTCTGGGAAGAACAACGAGCACTGTCGTTGCCAGTACTCCGCCGAGACCAGCCTGGAGACGATGGTGAACTCGTCCTCGGGCGCACCACTACATCATGGGGATCAGCAGAGCCTCGGATTGCAAGAAATTGGTACCATACTCTTGCCAGTAGAAGAAAGGTTCATTGCATGTGAACCACACCCACTGCCTATTGAACGTGTTGCTGAGAGACAGGTCAGTGAACATGGGGCTGGAAGGAGTGTATGTGTCGAAGCAGTCAATTGCGTATTCGTCAGTCCAATAACCGTAATTGGCGCAGACTATTCTAGTCAGTCTCTGAGGGGTCTCGGGGGATACGTATCAGACTTACATCCAGGCAAGAACGTTGAATTGAACCACGACGCATAGCCTTTCAGTGCTTTTTCCAGACCGACACCGCTCGGTCCAGGTACGGACTTTGCTCCAGGCTTGACATTCTAATACCGCGTGAGATGACCATTCGCACAGTCCAAGCCTAGAATTGGAGGATCCTCTCACCTCTACCGCATCGCAAAATTGAAAGAAAGCGGAGTATCCCGTGTAGAAAGAATTCGACTGCCAAAGCCATGGTCCGTTCTCAATCGCTCTGAGACTCATTAGCATCAAGGCATCATTGACCTGTTAAAAAAAGGTGAACACAGCATACGCTGCAAAATCATCAAAGTGCTCGAGCCCTCCCAAACCGAACATCTCTTTCAATTCCTGCTGACGCTTGATATTCCCTGACTTGTAGACGTGGTCAATATGCTTCACCACGCGAGAGACATCCTTGCTGCAGTTCTTGGGCATGCCCTCGACGACGGGGACGAAATATTGCCACTACAGATATTAGAATGTGTTTTGGTCGGGAATGTCTTCGCCATCACATACGAAGTCATAGATGGCCTCCACAGGCGCACTCGATGCATGGTACGCCCAGAAGGTCCCTGGGGCAATAGATTCGGTCCACGCGGCTAGGGCACCGCTGTAGGAACCCCCTGTGAGTACCCATGGCTTTCATGGAACATCAGTCAGCATGCGGATCGCGTGGTGATTGATTTTCGTTCACCCACCGCATCATCAGCGTTGCTGGTGTGGTCGGTGTCGAACGGAAGATTCACGGTCTTTGCAAAGTGAACAAGGTCCGCAATAGACTGCTCCAAAGTGAGGTACTGGAGCGTCTCAGTGGTCAAATTGGTGTATGGAGATGAGGTTCCCCAATAGCGATCTGAGGGACTTGATGAGCATGTCCCACACCTCCCGAAAGCTTGCGATCCATCCTCGATTAGAGGTACTCACGCTCAAGCACAATCATCGCACCCCCAATCTCCTCAGCATAGCGACCAACGATCGTCTGATTGGTCAAGTACCCCGTGTACAACGAAGCGTCGGCTTCACCCGGTGTGAACAAAACTACCTTTTCTCACGACGACGCCACGGTCAGCAACGCACCACAAGCAATGGTCACCAACTGAGGATACTCACAGGAGAACCGGGGCCAGCCCAATGTTCCGGATTATACCAGAATCTCTGAGGAAACGTCCCCAGGCCAGGGTCATTATGATCAATATACTGCTCGAATGTCGCGTTTCCAGAGAGCAGATGGGCTTGCGCGCTCAGCGGAGGTGGCACAGGCACCTTGGGTATGGCAGACACCAACCCACAAAGATAAGACGCAACAAGCGTCAGCGAAGCAGCAACAGTCCTCATCCTGAGAATCTAGCCTTCCGTAATCTGGCCCCTAAAACTACAGACACAGAAGGAAAAAAGAAAAGAAGAAAAAAGGACAAGCCATTCTTATACCGAGTAGCTCTGCCCTAGTACCTACCAGGTGAGGGGAAGCGAGCACGCAGCTACAGACATCCAGGCAAGACACAGACGTGCTAATTAATTGCATCTCAGCTAGCGCATGCAACCGACTCCATTGCAAGAATTTCTCTTAGCAATTAGCGCTGTTGAGATGTAATGTAACGACAAGCACTCCCCTTGCAGGTTAGTTGTTGATCCAATCGGACGACAAGACTTGGCAAGCATCAACAAGGCCCACTGCTTAGGGCATCCGGTTATCTGCGCTGATTGTCGTACTGCACACTGATTAGGCATATTGTCATTCGATTCAGCAATCAATTCTGGTCACAGCTCGAAAAGGGAAATGCAAACAAACAAGGTGAAGGGACAATGGCATACAACGTGCCGTCCCCACTCCGCAATCAACAATCAACAATCAACAATCAGGTACCCCGACGGAGGTCCGGGGTTGCGTGATAACGATAAGAGGGATGTAACCTCTTGAGTAATCAAATTCGGAGAATTTCTGCTTCAGCACAGCTGGCACAACTAGTTCCATTCATTGCTTAAGAACGCTCTAGACTTCGTGATACAGGTATACACAATTGCAAACGAGAACAAGCTCTGCAAACCGGTCTATCGCAAATGGACGACTCCCGCTGTCTTCACCAGCCACTCTCCAACCCCCAAGCCTTAACCTGGAAAGAAGTCCTTCTGCTCAGATCGCTGCCAGAGACCGTCAAGGTATCCAGCGGATGAGTCGGGTAGAAACTCATCGTTCCACTTTGAATACCCTCGGCCAGGGAAACCTCGAGCAGCGAGCGGTCAATGACACCAGAGAAGGTGAATTTGCCGTGGTCGAATGACTTGACCGTCGTGTTGAAGACCGGCCAGTAGCCGGTGCTGTTCGCCTGGGTGAAGAGATGGGTGCCCGCACGGTTGATCCAGAAGAACCCGGTGTCCAATCTGAGACCGCCATCGATGTACTCGCCCGACGTCGACGAGGTGAAGTTGAAGTATACTTGGCCCGTTGCGCCAGAGGACGGGATACCCTTGATCTTGACGTCGAAGGAGACCGCGTCGGACTGGACGTCCGAGAAGTTGAAGGTCACATCGCCACTCCGCGAGCGGTGGCCGTGCAGTCGCTTTCCGCGGACGGAGGCCAGGTCGTCGAATGCTTGCTGGGTGACGACCCAGGAGCCGTTGACCTTGGTCAGGGTGTGCTCTTTGGGCAGCGACATGGAGCCTCTCCAGCCTTCGAGGGGGCCGGTGGGGACGATCTGGGTGTAGTTCCAGTTGCTGGCCCAGCCGATGGAGACGGGGGGCTCGTCCTCGGGGATGCCCGAGTACCACTGGGAGGCGTAGTTGTCCTTGGCGAAGTCATAGAGGGTCTCGTGGGCGACCTCCGAAGTGAAGTGGGTCCCATTGAACGTTCCAACGACATAGTAGGTTCCCGAACCCCCAAGCGGCGCTCCAGGGTTGACGGAGATGAAAAGCACGTGCTTCGTATCCTCATCCTCTGAGACGGTGCAGTCAACAGAGAACTTGACAAGGTTGGGACATTCGAACTGCGTTCCTGGTAAACCTTCCTGGGTGAAGTTGGAGGCATGGGTCCAGTCCTTGAGATCAGGCGAAGTGTAGAATCCAATGACGCGGTCGTCCGCATAAGCAACGGTCATGACCCATTTCTGCGTCTCGGGATGCCATACAACCTGCGGGTCACGGAACTGGCTGGAGCCAATGTCAAGGACTGGGTTGTTCTCGTACTTGGTGAAAGTGTATCCGCCGTCAGTGGAGTAGGCGATGTTTTGCGTCTGCAGCGTCGCAGTGGCCAGCGTGTAGATGGCAACTACACCGTCGTCCTGGTCAGGGAAGAATCCTGAGGTGTTGTTGCTGTCTACCACAGCTGAGCCGGAAAAGATCCACTCATCCGGCTTGCTAGGGGAGATGGCGATGGGGTGGTTGGTCCAGTGGTACAAGTCCTTGCTAGTAGCGTGACCCCAGTGCTGGTTACCCGCAACAATCTGGGAAGGATTATCTGCGTCGCGTTAGCACAAGTACGCATCTGCAGGGATCAATTGAGCTTACATTGGTAGTACAGGTGATAGATATCTCTCTTGTTATCGTAGAAGAGTCCGTTGGGGTCATTCATGAAATGATCAGGAGGGGAGAAGTGAACCTGAGGCCGAAGAGGTCCGGAATAGTTGGCTGTTTGGGCAGCTGCCAATGCAGCAGAGAAGAGAAGGAGGTGGGCGCGCATTTTGCTGGTCCGATCGAATGAATCTGATGCCTTCAAACCCTGCTCTTTGAATCTCCAGACCTCTGGGGGATGAGGGGGTATTTATATCCCAAAGTCCACAGGACCGGGCCCTGAACTCGAGATCGTTAGTAACAGCCAGCAAACAGCGACCCCAGACGGGGTACTCCATTCCACATGGTCAACGTGCTTGGCCAGCATCGAACTAGTTGTAATTGAATGGCATACCGAAGCTAGACTGGGTCAACCGGGATACGGCTCGGAGAATTCCACAAAAGCTTCCCCAGTTCTTCGGGCTCTGTGCCGAACAGCCCGATTTGTGCAATTACTCCGTATACAGATACTTTCCAGACGGGCCTGGATACTGTTTGCATTGAGTCAATTGTGTAGCAGATTCAAGATATTTTCAAAGAATTTGGCGCTCGGATCGAAGATGTTACTGCAGACCTGCAGTAAGGTCTCGCGCCTGAAATACTTTGCCATCAACCCGGCCCGGCCAGTGACGTCGGTGTCGTGCCCGTCGAATTTGGCAATTCAGCTTGGCAACATGAAGTAGTATCAAAATCCGGGGCCTCGTCGGGGAAACCTCGTAAGCTCCACACAGTGACCCTGCATTCTGGAATCCGGCTTCATATTCAGCATGTTGAAAGCGAATCTTTCGTCCCCGCAATCTCGGGCTGTCTTCGGATTTCGGAGGCGCGTCGGAGAAATTTCCCCACAGTTAGAAAGAGGACCCCTTGGGGGAAAATTGATTGATATCTAGCATGTACTAAGAGCGGTCGTATCCTTGGTTCCTCGGTGGTATTGCTCATTTACAGGCGATTCCAGAAAATCATGGAGGTGACCTTGGACGGAGTATCGTCGCAGTAACCGCAACTATATACTTCTCTCAATCTCCGCAACCTCCCCCATCACCTCCCGCACCATCTTCTTCACCCCTTCTGTCGGCTCCTCATACGGCGTGCGAGGCCTGAGCTTCTCCTCTGCCCCCTCAATCCCCGCCAGGGGAGCACTAAATATCGCCGTAGCATACTTGGTCGCCGCAATCCCACTCTTACACGGACTCTCCGCGAGCGCCGCCTTCCGCTGCAGCTTTATCGCCTCATCGACCTTCCCAGCCCTGTAGAGCTCATACACCCTGGCCGCCGTCCGAGGAAACACATTCGCAAACGCCGCAATGCACCCCGCGGAGCCAACGCTCAACCCCCCAACCAGGAAATCCGACTGCCCCCCATAAACCGCAAACTCGTCCTGCGCGAACGTCGCCGCCAACCGCGTGATCTTCCCCACAGACGCACAGGTGAGCTTGACGCCCACCACATTCGACACCCCGCCAGGACGAGCCGCCGCCGACTCGCGCACGATCGCCGTCATCGTCTCGGAGTCGATGTCAACCCCGTTGCACACCCCGGGGAAATTGTAGATGATCACCGGCAGCGGGGCCTGCCGCGCTACGTCCGCGAAGAACCGCTTCACGACGCTCATGGTCGTCGCCTTGCCGAAGTAGGCGGGCGGGAGCACGAGGAGGTAGTTCGCGCCTGCTGCGGCTGCGTCGGCTGCTAGCTCCAGCGTCTGCTTGGTTGAGTGTGCCCCGACGCCCGCCATGAGGGGGTAGTCTGGGCCGACGGCCTCGCGGGCGGCGGCGATGAGCTGGGCGCGCTCTTCGCGGGTGAGCAGGAAGGCTTCGGAGTTTGTGCCGAGGATGACCAGGCCCGTTAAGCCGGTCTTGGAGAGGTAGGCGTAGTATTTCTTTTGGGAGTCGAGGTCTAGGGTATCCGTGGTGTGGTTGAAGAAGGTCACGGCTGGACACCAGACGCCTGGTTTGGGGACGTGGGGTTGGGGAGAGACTGCGGGGGATTGCGAGTGCGAGCCCATGTTGGAGGGGTAGCTTTCTGTAAGGGTCGTTGTAGTATACAATGAGAAAGTCAGTTCAACTATGAGGGTATAGTCTGTGATCGCAGACGAAGTGGCAGAGTAGAGGCTTTATATCGCTGCGGACATGTACAAAGAGCGGGGAAAACGGGAAAAGAATCCGTGTCGGATGGCGACCCGAAGAGGAAGTAGGACATATTATAATTCCAGATTTTCCTATCAGAAATGTCAAATAGACTGGAAATGTTCTTTAAAATGCGCTGTTGAGTCTTTTAATCGGCAGGTGGCCCGATATTGTGACTTAGCCAGTTACAGCTACTACAACTTGACATACTGAAGCAATCAGCCGAGAAGTCATCTTGCAATGCTTTCCACGAAAAGCTACATGCCCTTACTCGCTTTGTAGTCTCTTACCGTCTAATAATTTGGCTAGAATACTGGACTCACTTCCTCAAACGCCTACCCATGTTAATGCGGAATACTCGGAAATGTCAATCAATATCAATTTGGTCCTATCATGCTTCAAGACCAACGTCGAAGCTGCGATCAGATCAATATATAGCGGATCAATGCTTTGACAGAGTTAGTAAGAACTCCTCCACAGAAAGAGCTCTACTTACCGTAACATCCTCCCATTTCTCCCAACCACGTCCCTTCACTGCCGCTAGTTCTTCCATTGTATACTGTCTACCTGTCGTAAAGTAGCCGGCATTGATTTTCGCATCAATTTCAACGCGCGAGTCACTCGGTATCATGTCCTCCGGGATTGGCACGCGCTCGAGGATCCTGATTCCTGACTGAACGATGGCATCGTGCTTCATATTGGACATGGACAACATGCGGTCGATCTTCTTAATCCCAAGCCAATGGAGGATGTCGGGCATGAGGGCTTGAAAGCGCATCTATACGCGTATTAGTACAACCTCGATCTTCTATATGGATGACGTAACCCACGTCTCGCACTCCCGCAATGTTCTCCGTCCGAGTAAAATATTTGTCGGCCGTGTCACCCCCACGTTTGCGAGCATTGTACACAAGATACTTGATCACTTCACCCAGAGCACGGCCTTCTTTTCGGAAGTATATAACAACCCCGCTGCCCCCTTTTTGAGCTTCGCGGATTGCTTCCTCAATACCGAACGCCAGATATGGTCGGCATGTACAAATGTCCGACTGGAAGACGTCACTTCCATTACATTCATCGTGAATCCGCAGAGCCAGCTTCACATTCTCATCAGACACACGCTCCGGTGGTCCAAAGATGTAAACAGTCAACCCCCCAATGGGAGGAAGAAAAACCTTCAAATCAGGCCGGGTGATCAACTCGGGATAGCTCCCACCCGTGTGCTCAAACAGGGTGCGACGCAACGTCCCCTCGTCAACCCCAAACCGGTCCGCAACACCAGGCAAATACCAGACCGGCTCAACCGCGACCTTGGTGACGCGCACCTCCCCAGAAGAATCAACAACAATCGACCCATCGACATCCAACTGCCCATTCTTCACAGCCTCCCCGATCTCCGCAAGTTTCATGTTCGCCCGCGTAACAGCCATCGTGGGCCGGATGTCCCAGCCGGCATCCAGCTGCTCCCGAAACTGGTTGACGACATCGTGCCCGAACGGGTCCATGGAGACGATCTTCGTCTTGTCCGCCCAGGCAGGCTGCCAGGGAAAATTGAACGTGGGCTCACTGTTCCGGAAGTCCGGGCGGAAGTTCGGATCCAGGTCTCCCGCCGCGATCGCCAGGGCGTTGTAGATGCTGTAGCTGCCGCCATGGGCGCCCATGGCGTTTCGTCGTTTGAGCATCCCCGCGCCGCGGGAGACGATGACCGGACCACGGGATTTGGCATCGGGTGCGCCCCATACGAGGGGGACGGGATCTACGCCGCTTTGGCCGGGGTAGGTGGTCAACTGAGGGGAGATTTTAGTTTAATCCGCGTTGTTCCAGCTTGCATGGCTGTGTTGTTACGTACCACGATGTGCTTGCTGTAACCAGCTGTAGGGAATGTAGGGGACGTGGGGGACGTGGGGGAAGGGGACTGGATACTCTGAGCTTCCGGCATGGTGGTTGTGGTTGTGTCCCGCATGTCGCAAGTCAATGTAGAATTAAGACAATAGATGAAGATAATGTCTGTGGAAAATCAGAGTCAAGAGATGATGTGAGATGGAGGAATCAGAAGACTGTTGTCCAGCATCTGCATGTGACTTGTTATCTCATTAGGTTCTCTCCGCATCTTATCATCAGGCAGCCCAGCAGATACCCCTCTTTTCTTTTTTACAGGCAGGTGGCTCCTCACCGCTAGACTCATGGATATCCCTTCATAGCTGTATAGTGAGTTCATTCTGTCCCTGCATCCAAATGGCCATTTGCCCCAAGAACAAGTCCAACAGTCCGTAACTTGCGATCAGTAATCTACAAGACTGGACATGATCCTTATCAGTTACTACGAAGGTTCGGAGCTATCCGAGCTATGGCGAATCGCCCCACAGTCCCGCTATGACGGCATCGCTGTCGATGGTATTTGATATACGGCCCCAAGTTTATATCTCAACAAGACAACAGGGGTATTCACATTTCAATGGTATCTATTATTCTCCTTCCATGTGTTCGTAGGCATCAAAGTTTACTATCATCACTGTGTACACGTAAAACATAGCCCAAGCCATTCATTCGTCGGACCGATAGACAGAGCTGGAGAAAGCCCCGTCCTGTTCATCTCAACATCATCTCTATTGCTTCCCGCCTGCGAACTTTGGGTTGGCACGTGAATTCTTGATGGTCTTTTTGATTATTTCTTCCACCTCGTCCCAGTCCTTGGTATCAACGCGCTGAATCTCGGTGTTGAAGTATCTCTGGATCTGGTTGAGCATTTCCCATTCCTCGCGGTTCGACACGAATGAGATAGAGACACCGACACGACCGAAACGACCCGTACGACCGATACGGTGCAAGTAAGTCTGGAAATCTGCTTGTCGTCCAGGTACGCCGGGCTGATGAAGTTCTGGGATGTCCTACAGGGGGTTAGAAAGAATCAATAATCGAGTTTCGGAAAGCCGAAGCGAGAACCTACATAGTTGATAACCATAGAGACAGTGGAAACGTCAATTCCTCTGGCAAGTACATTGGTTGT